CCTACACAGTGGCTTTAAACAATCAACATTCAGGGGGGCCTGGGTGGCTCAGTTGGTTAAGCGTCCGACTTCGGTTCAGGTCATGATCTCACGGTTCGTGGGTTTGAGTCCCACGTCGGGCTCTGTGCTGACAGCTAGCTCAGGGCCTGGAGCCTGTTTCAGATTCTGTGTCTCCCTCTCTCTCTGACCCTCCCCTACTCACACTGCCTCTCTCTTTCTCTCTCTTTCTCTCTCTCTCTCAGAAAGAAATAAAAAAACATTTAAAAAATTAAAAAAAAACAATCAACATTCATGGAGCTCATGACTCTACAGGCTGGCCTCGTGGTGCTGCCATCTTTGATTCGACTTACCCATCAGTCTGGGTGTCAGCTGGCTATAGACTGATCTAGGATGGCCTCTGCTGGGATGACCAGGCACCTCAAATCTAACATGCATGTTTATTTTCCAACTGGCTAGTCCAGGCATGTTCTCATGATCATAAAACAGAGTAAGAGCAAGCCAGGCCAATCACACATGCCTTGAAAGCCTCTGCCTCCATCACGTTTGCTAACATCCCATTGGCCATTAATGAGAGGGCATGGCAAAGAACATCGATACAGGGAGAGATGAAGAACTGGAGCGAGTTTTGGAGTCTTCCATATATCTATATGCAAAACCTCCACGATTTACTTATCTGGGTCCTGACCTCTTTTCTGAGCTCTAGACGTGTATGTCAAATGGCCTAATGGGCAGTGCACTTGGGTATCTCCAGGCATTGCAAACAGCATATTTAAAACTGACCTTTTGATCCTCTGTCGAGACCTGCCCCTCTTCCAGCATTCATTCTCCTGCTGAGTACAAGATGCTGCCATCGACCCAGTGCTCAGGCCAGGTCTCCTTCAACTCAAATCTGATCCATGAAATCCTGCCACATCTACCTCTAAAATGTAGCTAAGATCTGTCATCTTCTCTCCTCCCTTGTCTTCTCTTCAGTGCATGTTGTTTCCACCTCTTTCCTGAACATATAAAAAGATCCCAATGAACTTAAAAATCTCAAATCTCCTGCAGTCTCATCCCATGGCCACTCTGTCCTCACTAAGATTACTGGCTTTTATTCATCATCCAGACACAGGGAGCACTTTTTAACCTCCAGGCCTGAGCCATTTATCAGTTTCCCAGGACTGCCATAACAAAACACCACACACTGTGTGGCTTAAAACAACTGAAATTTGGGGCGCCTGAGTGGCTTAGTCAGTTAAGCGTCTGACTTTCACTTAGGTCATGATCTCACGGTTCGTGGGTTCGAGCCCCGTGTCAGGCTCTGTGCTGACTGCCAGCTCAGAGCCTGGAGCCTGTTTCAGTCTGTGACTCCCTCTCTCTCTGACCCTCCCCTGCTCACGCTGTCTCTCTCTCTTTCTCCTAGAAATAAATAAGACATTTTAAAAAACAAAACAAAACAAAACAACTGAAATTTACTCATTCACAGTTCTGGAGGCCAGAAGTTCAAAATCAAAGTATTGGCACAGACACGCTCTCTCTGAAAGCTCTAGAGGAAGCTTGTTCCTGGCCTGTTCTAGCTTCCAGTGGTGCCAGGAATCTGTGTTTCTAAGTCTATAAATGCATAGTCTAATTTCTGCCTGTTAGGCAGGAAGCTAGGATGAGTGACAGGAAGATGGACCTTACATGTCTTGATGGGCAGCCCCAACCAAGGACCGCCCAGGGACCACCCCATCTACCCATCCAGCAGCTGGTTTGTGGTTACAGCACTCCAGAAGAAGAGTTAAGTCTGTTGTGCCTGTTTCACTTGTGCACAAAGCAGGTACTGGTCGTCACCTTACCTGTGCCTCTGGAATAGAAATGACATTGCAGTTTCCTACCACCCAGGCAGACATTTCCAATGCTTCATGGGAAAGGACATGTGTAGTTGGCTAATTATTGTATAATCCAGGCCTGTCACTCAAATGTTGTGACCCTAGGACCCACCAAAAAGAAAAAATGGATATAAGCCCACACATCCTGGTTTCCCTAGGGGTTTCCCAGGCCATTGTCCCTTGACGGGCCAGCTCCTCCCTTGGAGTGTACTTTATTTTTTCATTTTATTTTTTTAAATGTTTTATTTATTTCTGAGAGAGAGAGAGAGGCAGCATGAGCAGGGTAGGGTCAGAGAGAGAGGGAGACACAGAATTAGAAGCAGGCTCCAGGCTCTGAGCTAGCTGTCAGCACAGAGCCCGACGCAGGGCTCGAACCCATGAACCATGAGATCATGACCTGAGCCAAAGTCAGATGCTTAGCCGACTGAGCCACCCAGGCACCCCTCTTGGAGTGTGCTTTAATAAAACTTTGCTTTGCTTTACTTTAGCTTTGCTGTCCTATAAGTCTTTACTGTGACAGCAAAAAGAACTGAAGCTCTTTTCCTTTTCCATTTAACTCTCAGTAACACTTCCATCTTCTACCCTGTATCTCTTTCTTGTATAAGGACACTAGTTATAGAATAGAGCCTATACCTCTATCCATAAACAATGACCTCATTTTAACCTGAGTACATTTTCAAAGACCCAGTTTCCAAGTAAGATCATATTCACAAGTGCTAGGACTTAGGACTTGACTATTCTTCTTGGAGGACACCATCAAATTCATAACTACCATGCTGTTCCCAACAGAAACACTGAGTGATAACAACATGGACCTTGGACTCTGGACTGCTTCAATTTCTTTTTTTTTTTTTTTTAAGTTTATTTATTTACTTTGAGAGGGAGTGTGTGTGTTCACACACACATGTGAGTTAGGGGAGGGGCAGAGAAAGAGGGGAAAGGTCAGATAATCCCAAGCAAGCTCTGCACTTTCAGTGCAGAACTCAATGCGGGTTCAAACTCACAAACCATGAGATCATGACCTGAGCCTAAATCAAGAGTCAGATGCTTAACTGACTGAGCCACTCAGGCATCCCAAGGACTGCTTCAATTTGAACACCAGTTCTGTTACTGGCTGTATGATCCTAGGCAAGCTACATAAACTCTCTGAGCTTCAGTTTTCATACAAGTAAAATGAGGATGGGATGTAGCATCTACATCACTGAGATAATCTGAGAATTTAATGAGTTAATGAGTATAGTGCCCAGAATATAGTAAGCACTACATGTGTGTTTATTAGATAAAATAAGGTCTTTACTGTTCATACTCAGGTCTCAGCTTAAATGTTCTTTCTCAGAGAGGCATTTCCTAATTTCCCTTCACTTCAAACATAAATCATACTTTTTATTATGTATGTGTGGGGTTTTTGTTGTTCTTTGATGTCTGCCTTTTCCCATTGGACTCTAATTTCCTTGAGGGTAGATTTGTGTCTATTTTGTTCATCACTATATTCCTAGTAGTAACAGAATGTTTTGCATATGATGACTGTTAGATAAATATTTATGAATGGTTAGAAATGGCAATTTAATTATCATGAGTTTGCAGGTGCTTTAGTCTCTATCTCTTCCCCTTTCCCCGTCTCTAGGAATTGTGGGAGAAGAATCAGTTTTAAATGCATAACATCCAGATTACGTTTGGTCTGTTTCTTTCCATAGCTTCACAGAAGAACGGAGAGGTTTTACCCAACAGTTTTCTATGAAAATCTGCCCCCCAAAAGAGAGAAAACAGCAAAGAGCAACATGGAGCCAAGTGGCAGGAGGACAAAGGGACAGTGCATTGGTTACAATTAGTGTATGGGGTCACTAGGTGGCAATTCAATTCAAAAACAAATATTTGAACCAGGTATGAATTCATATGCATTAGTAGGAATTCGTTCTGTTTATAACAGCCATGGGAAAGGGGGTTGGGGGGAGGGACACAAACATAGCTTGTGCCAAAGAAACTGCTGTCTCTTCCTACTTCACTGTATAAGTCTGGCTCTGCCAACAGGTAGGTAGATGAGACCCAGTTTATGCCATTTCTATCTACAGAAGGAAAAAAACAACCTTCATACCTCATCCTCTGGGTAACAAAAGGATCTGAAAACTCAGCCAGATTTCATTACTTGGTCTCCAGACTGGGGTGCTCCCTTTGCAACCTGGATCCTAATGTACTTTTAACCATATCTGTTGCCAATACAAATCAAAAGACTAGCATTTTTAATGTAATGTGATAGGTATTTTAGATATATTAATTCATTTAATCTCCCTACAACCCTATTACGTGGGTACCATTATCCAAGGTGACAGCAAATAGGTGATAAAACCAGGGTTTAATTATTCTAAGGTTCACAGTCACTTTACCAGCGTTTCTTAAAGCATAGTCCGCTGGCCCCTCCATCAGAGTCACTGGTGGTCTGTGTTGAAAATTCAGATTCCCTGGCTCTGCTCAACACTGAAGGAATCAAGCAGAGGACTGTCAGGAATCTGAACCTTTATTCATATATTTTTTAAATGTTTTATTTATTTCTAGGAGAGAGAGAGACAGCACGAGCAGGGGAGGGTCAGAGAGAGAGAGGGAGTCACAGACTGAAATAGGCTCCAGGCTCTGAGCTGGCAGTCAGCACAGAGCCCGACGCGGGGCTCGAACCCACGAACTGCGAGATCATGACCTAAGCGAAAGTCGGACGCTTAACCGACTAAGCCACCCAGGTGCCCCAGGAATCTGAACTTTTAGAAGGCACCTCCAAGTGATTCGGCCGGATGGCAACTATGGACGCACATGATTCTTAGACATTAGGATCACACGCATAGGCTTCGGGCATTATCAAAAGACGACAACGTACCGCACTGGCTGACTTCAGCCATGCTCAGCATCCTCTAACCAAATCTGGTCCCAGAGTCGCCTCAGGATGCAGCCGCACAACGGAACTGGGCACGCGCAGTACTTACTTCCCAGAGCTGGGCGGGGCCCACTAAGAGTCCGCCCCCTCGGTACCCGCAGGAGCCAGGGGCGGGACTCTCCCAAGTAAACCTAATTCCGGCTTCTCCGAGCAGCGGCCCCGAGCTCCTCCCCCGGCTCTGGGGCCAATCAGATGGCAGGTTGCTGAAGCTCCGGGCCAATGCACAGGGCCGTCCTTTATTCCTCTGTGCAGTTTGAAACTGTCAGGCTGCTGCCGGGGTAGCCGCGGTACCGCTGTTGTTTCAGCGGGGACCCGGCGAGGAGACGCCGAGAGAGGCATCGGGGTTTGTGAAGAGCCGCGACGGTGGGTAGCGGCGCTCCGGAGGCTTCCGCGCCCCCGGCGGAGGCAGTGGAGAGGGGTTGAAAGTGTCTCAGCTCGAGTTTCCGCCCCGGGGGCTCGTACAGCGCGCAGCTCCGGGCGTCTTCCCCGAGACGTGGGCTGTGTGCTGTCCTGCGGGGCTGCGAGGTACAGAAGTTTTCCTTCCAAGGCTTCCGGGAAGAGAGGGCAGGAGTGAGGGCTACTTGAAGTATAACGATTATTGTCGCCGTAGGTTCTCATCATTTAGAAGGGAAAAGTAACCACGTCTAACGTTTTTTGGTTGTCGTTTTGTTTTTAAGAGTTTGAGTCAAACAAGGGTGGGTAAGAACGTGATTCAAGAGAACCCCTACCCTTTGCTTACTCACAACTGCTGTCCCCCTCGGTTGCTAGTCCCTTATGTGGGGAGAAGCTGTCGCGCCCCTTCTTTCCTGAAGCTAAGATGGGTGAAGAGCGCAGAGATTCACCCTGATGCCAGCTTGCACATCAATTCCCTCTTCCTCTGTCTCTTGGGGGCTACGTTTGAATTCCCGGACCCCTCTTTCCTTATCGGCCAGGTATTTACCAAGAGGTAATTTGATTTCTTTGGCGATCAAGAGGCACCCAGAACTTATCTCTTGGTTTCTGGTATCTTGAGTTAGAGAGTACTGGTAATTTAGTGAACTGATTCACATCTGCCACCCGTTAAAGCGAGCTTCATTTTTCTTCTTTGTTTCTAAACCAAGAAACAGTAAGAAAATGCTAGTGTGGTAGGGTTTCAAAGAAACTGTCCGGTCCTTTCTGGCCTCAAAGCAGGGCTGATGGCAGATTTATAGCATATTTTTCAAAAATACAGTAGTTGCTTTTGACTACAGTATCTCTATTCAGAAACTCTTTTTGAAGTCTAACCATACTTTTCAGCTTATTTGTTTTTGTTAATAATCAACACCAGCCTATCTCCACTTCTATTAGCTACTCAGTATGCATCCTAAAAGAAAAAGTAAATGGAAACAGAAATGAACCATGTTACACCAGAAATGAACCAGTGGTGTGTTTGAAGTCCATGAAGCAGTCCTTCCTTGCCGGGGATGTGTGTGCTTATTTTATCCTCCCTAATTGGCTTAACTGAAGACAGTCATGCTGAGATTTAGTTTACTTATGTGTATACTCAGTAATGCTCAGCAAATAAAGCCAAGTTTCCATCAACAAGTCCCAACCTATGTTTCCATTTTAATACTGTACTTTTCCCTGTGACAGCCCTTTCTACTTCAGTTTCATTATTTCTCATTTATGTTTCAGGCCAGTGTGATTGAGACCTGTTTCACCTTCCACTGAAATTGTTTAGGTAAATGTCAGCCACTTCCTTACTACCATGTTCAAGAGCCCCAGCTTTCATCTTTGTTGGGCATCTGAACTCTACACTCTGTTCCTCAAGTTTTTATGATGCTTTTTTTCCTGATAATTGTCTCATTCTGACTTTCTTTTCTGTTTTTACTCACTCTTCTCTTCCCCTTTAAATATTAGTGTTTCTCCTTTTAACCCCTCTCACTACAGTAATAGGCTTTTAACTTTATTAGAAGTATAGTCCCCTTTGAACACATGCTAGAAGTTAGGGATCCTCTTACTAGAAAAATACATGTCCATTTATACTAAAAATATTGCATATAATTCTGGTGTATGGACCTCAGAATAAGAACTCTTTTAAAAACACTCCTTTTTGTAGGTGATCTTATGCTCTCCCTTTTTCAGCATTTCCCACCATACTGATGATTCCCCAGACTGTCTCCAACCTGTACCTCCAGTGCTCATTATCTAACTCCAGGAAGCACCATTCTCATTGTAGCTATTGTGGCAGTTTTTGGTGCACAGTACAATGGATGTGGCTATATACTGTGTACGTACAGCCTCACTACAGTACCACCTGTGAGGTACCTCACACCCAGCTCATCTGATACTGAACCCACGATCCTTCTTCCCAACCCGCTTACCTTCCTACATTTCTTGTCTTGGTTAGTGGTCCTGTTATCCATCCAGTTACCCAAGCCAGAAATCTGAAAGCCATCAACATTCCAAGACAAGCCTGATCATGTTATCACTTGCTTAAACATTTTAATAACCTCTGTAGAATAAAGACCACATTTTTTAACATGACATAATCACGATCTTCCATGTTCTGGCTGCTTCCTGCCTTGCCTGCTCCATCCTTAACCAAGCCTTGCTGTGTGCCCTTTGCTTCAGTCTTGCAAACTACTTACATTCCTGCCATACATGCCCTTGCCTCTGTGTCTTTGCTTGTGCTGCTCTGATGCCTAGCATAGCCTAATGACTTCTATCTGTCTTTCACGTCTCCATACCCAGTTCATCTCAATTAAAACGTGCTCTGGCTCCGTTCCCACTTCTTCACTCTCGTGATCCCACCTCATGAAAAAGAGCTACTCTTACCTCCCTGCTTTGTACGTCTGCTAGGATATATGTGTCTAGCTGTCTCTGCAGATTATAAAGTCCGTGAGGACAAGGGCTTCTTCATCCTACATTCCTCACCAGTGTCTTCCGTGTAACTGGCTTTCAGATACTTTGAATAGGACAAGTCACTCCTTGTCCTTTAAATAACTTATTTACCTGTTACTAAAAGTACCTTTTTTTGGTTAACACTTTTGACAGGTCTTCTGTGGTGTATACGAATCTCCTGTTCTATACAGACTTGCTTTTCTTAAGATAATATTCCCAAAGCGTATGTTGCTCAGGCGGAGAATTTGCACACATTGTTTCTTCTCTCATGGTTCAGTAAAATGCACAGCACCCAGATCGCCACGCATTGTTGAAGACCAGTGATCACACTCTGTTACTCTCAACAGGCCCCATTGTGGATTTGTCCAGGAATCTTCCATTTCCCTTGAACCTTTCCTATAGTTGTGTCATCTTAAAAACTCACTAATTTTGGGAATTGAGCCTTCTACTATTCTTGTCTTGCCTAGTTATTTTATCTATGGGTGCTCAATATGTTGCATATTTTAACATATCTCATGATTATTATGTACAGGTTAGTATATATATATAACATGTTATTTTGGTTTACGTATCACAGGAAGAAAACTAAAGATGGTTTCCATTGTTTATAGTGTTTGTACAGAATGTCCTCAGATGAGGAGAAATGCTCATTGCCGGTTATGAAGAATGACTCTGACCGAGGCAGTTCTGTCTCTTCAGATCTTCAGGTAGGAAGATATGTCTAAATTTGTTGTGACTGACTTATTTTGAACAAGTGACAATATGAAGGAAAACTAGGAATACATTTTTCATGTATTCATGCCATTTATATTTATACTTATGCTTTGTGTATGGTGTATAATGTATAGCAAATTATAATAATATCAAGTATTGAGAATTATTTCACCGACTTTGGAACCCACGTTATATTGTTTGAACCTGTCAAAATAATCATGAACTCCTCAAATACTCTTTATGCAAAGGCTTCAAAAAGCACAATGAGAGAAGCTGGAAATCTCAAGAAACATTGTTTTCTTGAGCGTTTCTTAAGAAAATCTCAGCCATCTCTTCTGAAGGCTGCTTTCACTTTAATGCAAATTAATACACTCTCAAGCCATGCAAAGTTCTGGGACCTTAGATGCCCTGGTGTTCTACTCTAGGTTCTAGTCCCTGTTGCTACAACGTTTAGCACATTCTGCTGCCAGGACCTGCACCGTGACAGATAAATTAAATACAGAAGGTGTGGTTTTTACTTGAACCATTTTCAATTTCTTTTATTTCTGAAAAAAAAAAATTGTTTAATGTTTATTTATTTTTGAGTGACAGAGAGAGAGAGACAGAGTACGAACAGGGAAAGGGCAGAGAAATAAAGATTCTGAACTAGGCTCCAGGCTCTGAGCTGTCAGCATAGAGCCTGACGCGGGGCTTCATCTCACAGACTGTGAGATGATGACTTGAGCTGAAGTTGGACACTTAGCCAACTGAGCCACCCAGGCTACATGGTTTATTATCGGAACTATGGACTCCAATTTCTAGAGTAGATTTAAAAAATTTTAATGCTTGATCCATTCGTCTGTTGATGGACACTTAGGCTCTTTCCATGTTTTAGCTATTGTGGAGAGTGCTGCTATGAACATTGGGGTACATGTGCTCCTATGCCTCAGCATTTCTGTATCCCTTGGGTAAATTCCTAGCAGTGCTATTGCTGGGTCATAAGGGAGTTCTATTGTTAGTTTCCTGAGGAACCTCCACACTGTTTTCCAGAGGGGCTGTACCAGTTTACATTCCCACCAACAGTGCAGGAGGGT